TTTTTTTTTTCTTTTTTTTTTTGCATTCTTTTGACTTGCTCTTTCTTCATTTTCTCTAGGTTTTTTAATAGCCGCGTCTTGGATTTACTATAAGTGCTTGTGAAAAGAATATGCATCTGTAATGATTCTGCAATATTTAAGGTCGTCTGAGATGATGTAATGTATTTTCCTTTCATTTCTGTGCTTTGTTAAGAAACTTTTTTTTGGAGAATAAACACTGATTGAATGATTGGAAAAAAAGTGTATGTTTTTTTTTTTTTTTCTTTGTTTTTCTTTCTTTCTTTCTTTCTTTACCATCTCACCCACTCCTTAGTCCTTCCACGTGAAGGGTTCTGGAGAGGGAAAGGGACCTTAGAATCTGCTACTTTGCAAGTACTGCCTGGTGATCCAAATATGAGAGAAATAAGAGAGAGTTTAATGATTAATTAATTTTTCTTCTGGTTTTTTTTTTTTGATTTTATAGAATTATTATTATAAAGTAATGAATTCGAGCCACATAGATTATTTTCTCGTTAAATTTATTTTTATTTTATTGTAAAAGGATTGACCAAAGTAGGAAACATATCCAGCGAGGAGGGAAAAAAAAAAGGAAGTGGAAGCAAGGTAAGCAGAAGTTAAATGATTTTAATTTTTTTGTTTTTTTTTTTTTTTTGTTTTGCTCTATCTGTATCTCTATTTATATAAATGTATACGATAAGATGTTTACGGGATGTATGGTTATGAAACATCTATCTATTTGTTGAGGTCTATGTGTATGCAGTTCTTTGCAATGTGTATTTATTCTACTTAGATATAATTTCTTTTAAACATATTTTATTTTATTTTTCATGTACTTGGCATGAATAACTCAAAAAAAAAAAAATTTTTTTTTTTGGTATTTCTTTGTATCTTTCTCTTTCACTTCTTTTTGTTTTTTTCGTCTGTAATTACACACTTCACGTACAGGGGCTGTAAAAAAGGAACCGTAAGCGAAGAAGGAAGGCAAAGGCAAAAAATTAAGAGCAAACTACGGTAGAGGAATAGGAAACAAACAAACAAACAAACAAAAAAGAAGTACAGAGAAAAAAAAAAGAAGAAAATAGATACTGCTCTTATGTCAGTCTACTGTCGTGTGGCTCATCCTCATCTTCTTCTAAAGGCATTGGCAGTTCTGACCATCACAAAAGATTCATGGGCCACCGTTGCTTTCTCAGACAATGTTGTTGTGCTCCATGTTGAGGGATCTGATCAGAGTATCACTGCCACGGCAACACTTCCCACAGCACTTTTCTCTGAATACTCCGCTACAGATGCACGTTTCATGGTTCATCTTGCATCTCTTCGTGATGCACTTCTCCTTGGCGGCCCAGCTCTCTTATCTACAGTAACTCTTGCTCGTATCGTATTAGCATACCCCATGGGAGATGCCAAGTTACTAGTTGAACTAACAGATGGTGATTGTGTTTTGCAGTCTACACTTGTCACTCGGCCAGTAAAGGATCACTTGCTAGATCTACACTTTGGCAATGCACGGGTGGTGAACAAATTAACACTCCTTGGCGATGTCGCCCGGGATGTTATTGAGGATCTGGTGGTGGCCCAATGCCCACAGGTGGTGGTGGTGTTGGATCCCCAAGAGGGAGTGACCCTCCGCGGCGAGGGTGGACCATACGGGGCGGTGACTGTGCAGATGCGACGTAATGCGGAGGTGATTCTTTCCACTCTTGCAGAGGGAAAACATGCGCAGACTCGCGTGTTGCGATCTCACTTGGCACTGGCCTGCGGGGTACGGGCTGGCGGCAAGTTACTGCGTATGACTGGATCAAATAATGATCATCTACTGGGAAATATCGGACTTTTTAGCAGTAGCGGCGGTGGTGGTGGTGGTGGACAGCAACCAACGTTTGGAGGGTTTGAACGGCTTTTATTTCAGATTAACGAGGAACGTCAGCTCAGTGTGGTACACACAACAAGAGATCATGACATTGCGGTGACAGTGAATGTCGTAGTATCACCACTTTGCGACCTATACGACGAATAACAAGGAGATTTTTTTTTTGTTTTTTTTTTTTCGTTTTTGCATTCTGATTTTTGACAGTATTGCAAAGTTACGTTTCTTTGTTGATTGAACGTGGTTGTTGTTGTGATAAAACGTTTGTGATTCTACTTTCTTCAAAAATAAACTTGAGACGTGTTTTTTCTTTTTTTTTTTTACTGTGTCTCATACGCATCCATAGATTAGACAGATAATGCTTGTGACAACTGACAAGATATGTCAATGTGAATTTCCCACCCTTTCCCTAATTTATTACGTCGAATGAGAGCTGACATGCAGAATACGAAACATATCTATATCTATATATATATTTACCCTTTCCTATTTACTGAATATCAAGACAAGTTGCAAGTATAAACAAGGCAAAAACAATAATTGATAATAGTCACCAAATTGTTAAAATGTGCGCCAATGACGATAATCAATACAGTACTTATATGTTTTGGGGGACACAATTAACTTCCACATCAGTGGTTTCCATCGTGTTTCGCTGTAGTGTGCTTGCTGCAGTGCTGTGCACATCATTGGTCGCCCAGGCGTATAGTGTACGCTACACTTATGTTACTTCCCCTACACCAGTAAGCGCCCGGTTCAGCGGCTACTGCCCAGAGCGAAGCGGAGGCCACACCATGATGCCCATGACGGAGAGTTTCCAAACATTGGCACAAGGTATCATTGTACAGGGTAAATTTGCAGATGCTCCCATTGGCGGGATTAATCCGGCCACTTCATGCACGACTGAGAGGTGTCCGTGGATCTTCCACACCGGGCTTATGAACGGAACCCCAGTTGAGAAATCCACATTTTTGTACGGTGCGGTCTATAAAGGGGTTGACCACACCGAAGCCGTTCCTGGCATGTATCATAACTTCCAAAAAGGGGTCCAACCTGTTTCTTTTTTGAGTCCAGAGGACAATGTCATCCCGAAAATGTTGAAAAATGGATTCTGGCTGACTGATTTGCGAGATCGCGAATACACAACGTGGGTATGTGAGTACTATGATTTTACTGCTTTTAAACAGGAAATTGCAACCGAATCTAACGATACTGATTCTGCTGCCGAAGAAGAATCCAGTGGGTTTCTGTGGTGGTATGGACTCATCATTGGTTTATTTGTCCTCCTTGCCGTGGTTGTTCTTGTTATTGCATGCTGGTGGCGCGTGAAACATGAAGAGAAGTTGCAAAAGGAAGAAGTTGAGGGAGACACGAGAATAGGAGAAAATGTCACTCGGATTCCCACACAATTGGAGGTTGGCGTGGGGCCTAGCCCCAGTGTGTTTAAAAATACAAGTTGTGTGGGACCTTCCGGATTCGGGCGGAATGGTAGTGTTTCTAACAGCCGCCGTAACTCACGGCGTGGTTCTTCTTTTGCTGGAAATCCCTATTCAAGTGGTTATGGTGACCCTGGTTTCCCTCAAAGGCGAATGAGTCATGGTGAGCCTGGTGGGTTCCAACCGCAACGTGACATTTATGCGCAAGAGGTATTCTCCCCGCAGGGTTGGTAGCCCTATGTTTTGAGGATACTTATATTATGGTTCCACTATTGCCCTATTCTACATAAACGAAGCTATGGGATCACCCTGACTAAAAATGGAACCACAGTAATGTCTTTTTTTTTTTCTTTAAATTTCTATGGTGCTGCGTAACCTCTGGACGATAGCGCGCAAATATTTTAAGAGAGTAATAATAAAGATTGCAAAAATGATGTTATATGATAATTACAGTAAAATTTGTTAAAATCTATTACCTTTTCCCTTTTTTTTCTTCTTTCTCAACCACTCGATCTTTCTTAAAATTGAAAAAAGAATACCTCTACTTATATATGTATGGATAGAAATCCAGACATCATCATCTTTTTATTCTTTTTCCCATAACGTTAACAATAGACATGATACTATTGTTTTCTGTTTAACACTTTTTATATGACTGACTTCATGTGCACAGTTATTATTATTAATAGCAAAAATAATGGGGGTTTTCATTGTTATTTTGATTCCCTATATTTCCATGAGTTGTTTTTCTTTTTCTTTTGGTTCCATGACCCTTCTTGTAACGTGCTGGGCCCCTGTTCCCTCCCACACTTCCCGCACTTCTCTTTCCTTCCTTCTTTCATTTATTGTTTTGGGTAGATGAGCCGACGGTACTAGGGTGGCAGGAGTGGCAGCGGCAGGAGTCACATTACTGTGAGGGCAGTAGTGGTGGTGGTGGTGGTAGTGCTACGGCTGCTGGGAACTGCGTTGGTGGTGTGCCGTCGGGTCTGCGGTGTGAGGACCACACATGTGGCCATTCATTGCGTGGGGAGGGCGACGCGGCCAATAGTTCTCACACCTCGCTGGACTGCGGTGTGCGTGAGGGTAACGGTGCTGCCCGTGATGGGCACCAGGTGCGGCTGTAGACCCCACCCAACGGCAGCCTACACACGCCATCTTGGCCACCATGTGTGTCTGTGTATGCTGTTGTGAAGCTGTCTCCCTCTGTTTGTGTGTGTGTGTGATCATTCTAGGGCTGTATTTGTTTTCTGTATTTGTCTCTGACATTGCCTGTATCTACTGAATTCTGTATTGCGAAATCATTTTATTTTTATTTCTGTACTTTGTTATTATGTGTGTTTTTTTTTAATTTAGGATACCAACTATTGCTTGAAAGCTATGAGGACACAAGTAACTTCCACATCAGTGGTTTCCATCGTGTTTCGCTGTAGTGTGCTTGCTGCAGTGCTGTGCACATCATTGGTCGCCCAGGCGTATAGTGTACGCTACGTCACTTTTACTTCCCCTACACCAGTAAGCGCCCGGTTTGCCGGCCCCTGTCCATGGCAAAGCGGAGGCCACACCATGATGCCCATGACGGGGAGCTTCCAAACAGATGCGTACAGTAAGTTTGTTGGGGCTGCTTACACAGAGGCTCCCATTGGCGGGATTAATCCTGCCACTTCATGCACGACCCAAAGGTGTCCGTGGATCTTCCACACCGGGCTTATGAACGGAACCCCAGTCAAGCAATCCACATTTTTGTACGGTACTGTCCATAATGGGGTGGACCACACTGTGATCGTTCCTGGCATGTATCATAACTTTATCAACGGGGTCCAACCTGTTTCTTTTTTGAGTCCAGAGGACAATGTCATCCCGAAAATGAGGCAAGGTGGATTATGGATGACTGATTTGCGCGATCACCTATACACAACGTGGATATGTGAGTACTACGATTTTACTGCTTCTGAAGAGGCAACGGCACCTGCAACGGATGAGAATGGCTTTCTTCTTCATCCATATATAATTGGCGGGTTTCCGTGGTGGGCTGGACTTATCATTGGTATTGTTGTCGTTATCATTGTGGTTATCATTCTTATTATATGCTGCTGCTGTTGTAAGAAACACAAAGAGAAGTTGGAAGAGGAAGAGATTGCAGAGGATACGAGAATGGAAGATAATCTCAGTCGGATTCCCACACAATCACAGCTCGGCTTTGGTCGCTCTCGTAGTAGCGCGTACGTTGGAAATGACCGTGGTGACTTTCAGGGCAGTGGGTATGCTGGTGTTGGGCGGAATGGCAGTGTTTATAATAACAACAATTATGTTGAGAATGATGCTATTGACGGTGGGAATCCCCTTGAGGGTCAGTACCCTGCCGAAGATTATCAATACAACAACAATTACCAGGGTGGATATCCTCCTGGTGGCTATGTTCCTCAGGGTGGATATCCGGCAAACTATGGGTACCCTCCTCAAGCTGGCTACTAGAACTTTTTTTATGTGTGTTCTTATCAGGAACGAATATCAAAGACAAAAACCACAGTGCTATTGAGGTGAGAAAGAATAACCTGTACCTTGTTTTTGCTAGTAGTCTCTTGGTACTCGTATGTGGCGCGGCAAATATTTTGTTTACTATATAACGTAGTGGAAAAAAATATATAGAACTTATTTCTTTCATTGTTATTATGCTAGTAACTATTTGTGTGTATTTTTTAATAAATGGTAAAGAAAGAAAATATACAGGACTGCCATTACTTAGGGTATTACTGTTAGTGATAATAATGGAACTGATGTCGGTTCATTTGTGTGTCGTAAAGAGAAAAAAAAAATATTTTCTACTGTTGTTTTCTCTCTGTTTGTATTATGTGTCTATTTTTAAAGGAAATGGAGAGTTTAAGCATTGTTTTAACCCTTCCCGTTTTATTTCGTTTGTTATGTGCACAGTTACTATTGTTGATGGCAAAAATAATGGGGGTTTTCATTGTTCTTTTGATTCCTATATTTCCATGAGTTGTTTTTCTTTTTCTTTTGGTTCCATGACCCTTCTTGTAACGTGCTGGGCCCCTGTTCCCTCCCACACTTCCCACACCTTTCTTTCCCTCCTTCTTTTATTTAT